AAAAATGCCGCGGAGAAGGATGCGATCCCCAACCGAACCCTTGAAGATGAAGCATTTCAAGTTATCGACAAGGCTAAGAAAAAGTTAGAGAAAGTTGCAAAGGGACAGTCTCATGTGCAGACATTCTTGCATTCGCCGCCAGATTGGCAAGTCCCATAGTCTCACATCGGAAAAATCAGACTTGCTATCTCGTCTTGTATGGGCTTTGAAGTCAGATGCACCACAAGAAAAACCTAAGTGTTTGCTTTGGTTTAAGTCCATATTTAGTTAAATAGTTTGGACTTATAGTTTGGTTTTTTTTGTTTAGTATTTTCGGGTGTTTTATGGCTTAGGAACATCTTCCTAAGGCATTTGTAATTGTCCCTCTTTTGCAGTAGTAATTTGCTCATCTTTCGTCCGTGGATGTAGGTCAAAGTCAATTGACCGAACCACGTATATCTGGTGTTCTGGTGTTCTTGTCTCGCTTTTATTCTTTCCGCTTTATTGTCTTGTTGGGTTGCCAAAATTACCTTGTGGTAAATTTCCTGGGGCTAGCTCTAACAAATTGGTATCAGAGCCTGGTTCTGGGATCTTTTGGCAACGATGACAATAACAAAGATTGTTGTCGAGAAATTCGACAGAAATGTCAACTTCGGCTTATGGCAACTCAAGATGGAGGCCATTCTGGTTCAAGACGGAGTTGATTTGGTACTACAGGGAGCCGAGAGCATTCCAGATGATATGTCAAAAGAAGAGCTTGCGAGTATGGATAAGAAGGCCCGATCAAGCATCATTCTAAATCTCTCTGACGAGGTTTTAGGGAGGTAGCTACAGAGACTACGGCTAAGAGCATGTGGGACAAGCTTAAAGCCTTGTACATGAAGAGGACAGTGGAGAATCGTCTCTACTTGAAGCAGAGTCTGTATATGCTTCGGATGACTGAAGGTACATCTCGCATCTTGATAAGTTTGATTCTTTGGTTATGGATTTGAAGAATATAGATGCAAAAATTGATGATGACGATAAGGCTTTGTTA